TTTGTGCTGCGATTACCTTATTTTTTGGTAGTGATATCACGTGAATCAGCAGAGGATAACATCAAAATAATATTAAAAAAAAGTTTGTCGACTCACCATCATGTACAGGTTAATCAGTCTTCAGTCAACGGGTAAATAAGTTTTTAATTATCTTTTACACACACGTTATTATCATAGTACTATAACAATAATAATGACCAGCTATTACTCAATTACATATCCACATTTATTTTTAATACGTTGATGTAAATATAAAATAATTGAGTTTAATTTAAAAAAATACCAAAATGTCATAACGTAAGATAACAAAAATCTTGCTGAGCAAAAATTAACGATGAAGAGCTTAAAAATAACAACTTATTTGCCCCTTGCACACAGGTAACACTATGTCAAGTAGACTAAGAGGTTAGACGATTGCGAAAACGAACTCAAATTAACATGTAGGAGTTTCAAGTTTTTGACATGTCATCGTGATCAATCGATGGAGGAGATAAAGTACTTAATTATAAAAAAAAATAGTGAATATCCTCTAAGAGATAAGAGTGGGGGAAATTTTAAACTTAGTAATTATTGTTGCATGCTAGAAACAAAAAGGGAAAAAAATAGGGCCTAGCTCAACTGTAAAATCTACTATGCTGCAAGTGATACAAAGGTCTTCCTTTCTTAACTGTTGAAGAAGAGGAAGAGTATAAAACATCAATATGATAGTTGATATCCAACAACATGGTTCAATTTCTCATCGAACCCCTCGATTCGACAATAAAATGGTCATATATGGATATCATTTGGTCATCCAATTAATGTTTTGAAGCTTTAAAATTGATTTAAGCTCATTTAAGCTTAGATCTGACTGAATTTAGTGTCATTGGGTTCGACTCCTTGAGATGTTCAATTTGACTATAAGCTAGCTTGAATCAAAGTTCAAATGACCACAAATTTAATTTTGTATGCTTCTGATATATTTTTTGCATTGAGATTTTTGTCCGATCAAGGCGATTTTTTTGGTGATATATCAGTACTTTTGCCCTCTATATTTAGACATCGAAACTTGAAAACTTTGAAAATATGTGTTTTTAACATTTAAAAAATTTGTGCAAATTTTAAAATATCCTTTCATCTATCCTATTCCTTTGAATCTAGAAATACCCTCTTGGGGGTGGGGGAAGAAAACACCTCTCATGTATTTCTTCTCGTTTTCTTCTTCTATTATCTAATTCAACTAGCATTAGATCGAGGTATTCCACTGTTTTAGCATGAATTTTAAAAGCCCACAAGGTGGTTTTCAAATTTCAAAATTTTGATTGAAAGAAACTCAAATGCATAATAATATTTGACGTATTTGAAAATTCTCAAATAGTTTTTTCAATATATTTAAAAATTATTTGATTTTAATTTCAAATAAATTAAAATGTGAAGCTTCGCTCATAGCCACGGCCAAACACCATCACCAATGCTATTACTAGTCACCATCATTGATGCTATCGTCACAACCCACTATTACACTTGTCAACACCACCACGGCTACCTACCATCGCTAGCCATCGTCGTATTTCAAATACTAGCTTTACGTTGCAGAAAAAAAAAAAAAAAAAAAAAAAAAACACTTTGCCGGAAAAAAAAAAAAAAAAAAACTCATAAACTTCTTTTACAAGTTACCAAAGAGCAATAAAGTTTTTCAAAACATAATTTTAGTTTACATTATAATTAAAACACGCATAAATTTCTAATTCTATGAATAAAATAGAGTGAATTGAATTAGTCATTGCCATGCGATATTTATAGTAAGAAGCTTTAGTATTTATTCATGTAATATATCCTCATTATTCAGGATATTCTATTTTATTATATTTCCATTATTTATTTCTTCTATTGCTTTTATATAGATATATTTGCATTAATTTGACTCAAATTTAACCTTTTATGATTTCTATTACTACAAGAAACAAGCCTATTATATCATTCCGACAGTAGAAATTGGCGGACTTGAACATTTTTTATGGTGGAATTTTCTACCGATTTCAAAGTCCTGCGTACTGTCTGATCTAAGTTATGGAAATGTTTAGTAATCGATCCGTTAGAAACAAATAAAAATATAAATCGAATTAAATCATAGTCGTCATTTCTCTCTTTGTTCTTACTCCTACAAACTTTATTTTGAAACTCGATCAATTATATATATATTTTTTATTTTTTGGGAAATTACTTTGGGTTTTTTTTTTTTTTTTTTTTAGATTGTTAGAGCTTGAAAAATTGTTAAGTTAGATCTATACATTATATAATTTGTAGTTCTAAACTTTTTTTGGTTAAATCTATATTTTTTTAGATATATGTAAGATTTTGATTTGTTAAATTTAATAAGTTTTTTAATTTTTTTAATAATTTAATAATTTAAAATTTTAACTCTATTCGATTAATTTAGAAAGATTAAATTTAATAATTTATTATTCAAAGTAAATTAAAAAATTTGTATATGTATGCAAATAGCCAAATAATCTAAGTTAGAAAGTTTATTTAAAATAATTTTATTATATATTATTTTTTTAAAAGTCTCGTTCCAGCTCAAATTGAAGTCTGTTGCTTCTCGATCTCTCAAGGTTTCTTCCTCCGCAATCTCTCTATTCCCCGTCCCCTCCTCTGTTTTTCTTGACCTACGTACTTTTAATTTCCTCTTACGTGCTGCTTCTCGCAACTGAAGAGGGGACATTCTTCTTGCCGGAGGAGAAGAAGGAAGAATAAGAGTAAAACATCCACGGTCATCATTGACACGCTCTTGTTGGCCTCAAAAATTTTTGAGATCCAAATGGATGGCGGAGCCGAACTGCTACATTTTTCTTTGTCCGCTGGTAAAAGGTCATCTTTTCTAGCTCCACGGATATGTACTTCAAAGCGAGATCCCGAGCTTTCCATTTTACCACCTTCTGAGGAGCGGATTCTGGAGTGGAGTCAGGAGATTGGAGTAAGAGAGATGTCGAAGGAGGGCTGTATATCTGCTGGGTCACCGGGCGCTCGGTCTTCAAGTTAGATACTGACAAGAAATAAATGGTAATGAATAATTAAAAAATAGCCATGGAAGCTTATACGCATCTGCCTAATATGTATGAATAATTCTTAATTCTCTTCGCCAACCATTTAAGCTTAGGAAGATTTAGTGAGCTTAAATGGCTGTCTGGGTTTGGTTCGTCCACAAAGCTGGTGAAGGGAATTAAGAATTATTCATATTAGTCGGTTGCGTATAAGCTTTCATGCTTGTTTTTAATTATTCATTACCATTTATTTCTAGTTAGTATCTAACCTGAAGACCGAGCAACGCCCGCCCAGTGACCCAGCGAATATATAGCCCTCCTCGTCCTCGCTGTTCAATGGCAAGCGGTCGTGAAGCAACCTCAGCCAACTGCTTTGTAGCCGTTGACGCCGGCAAGCATCGACGATACGAACGACGCCTACTTGAAAAGGAGCTAAATCCGCTCGTTTCCTTCAGAATGAGTCACGCCGTCGGAACCTTCATTGCCATCTTCTTCCTTATCCTCATCCTCACATACATCATTTACATAGTTTGTTATCACGTCGCCGCTTCCCCTCCCCTTCTGCCCGAACGCAACGTCGACACTGCCACGATCAGTAGAAGACCTGAGCTCACCTACGCCGAAGCCATCAGTCAGGATCCACGGGCGGTCGGCGCTACTTGCTGCTCGATTTGCCTTGTCGACTATGAGGAGGAGGAGGAGGCCGAGGCTTTGCGGCTTTTGCCGGAATGTGGGCATCTATTCCATGCAACCTGTGTGGATCCTTGGCTGCTCCGGCGACCGACTTGTCCGTTGTGCCGATCGTTGGTGGTGTTTGAGTTCATGCAGACACCTTTGGCCGAGGTAACTCTATTAGAATGTAATAATAACACTAAGGAGAACCGCGGATTAGTTTAAACTCCTGCTTATATCACTAATGTACAAGTAGCTGCTTAAGGTCATAAATGTTTAGTGTTATTATTACATTCTAATAAATTCCAACTGGAATTGAACAGGCGTAGATATCTCTTCATACAGTTTACGTTGGAAATGTTGGGTATGGAGCACAGAGAAGAGGTAAATCACTTAAACTGATATACATACGGTGTTTATTAGCCTATTAAGTAGTCTATTAACCTATTACGTTTGTGTGCTTGAAGGATATTTAGAGCCATATATGTATAGTGATAACGCTGAAATGAACATGCAATAATTAATACTTTATAAGGAGCTTTGCGGCCTTTCGACAGCTCCTTCGATTAATCTATCTGTGCCATGTAAAGATTCTGTGGTTCTCTTTTCTCGATTTTCCTTTCTGTATGTCATTATTTTCTTTTTTTAATGTATGTCAGTATTCCACTAAGAATAATGAGTAAGTATTGTCTCACACAGCTCACCTTGATTTGTTGGTTGAGAGCTTATACTTCCAATTAAGAGATCTTGGATTCGAGTTTTTGTGTATGCGTTGTGTGTATGAGTTTGTCTTAAATGACCTAAATGTCCCAAAAAAAAGTAAGTATTGTCTCTCGCTTGAGATTTTTGTGTTTTTTGATAAATATAATATATTAATGATCATTAATTTCAAGAAACAAGGAAGTTAATAATCGGGTTAAATTGCGTGCACAAAATTTTATGGAACAAGATTAAGAGCTGCCGGTTAGGTTGACCGCAGTGTCAGTCTTAACCGTAGGCTCTAGTAAATGGATGTGAGTAGCCCGCTATGTCAACTAAGATTTTAACTGGCTTATAGACAGCGTTTCTTCTTTAAAAAAAAAAAGGATTAAGAGCTGCTTGGACGGCTGCAGCGTTCAAATTATGAGATATAAGAATTGTTAAGCCATCTAAGACTAGAATAAACTTCCGCTGAGCGCAAGCTTTAGTAATAATAATTAATAAAAATATAAGGTTGTTTTAAGACCATCTCTTAAGGGCTTATCATCCATCAGTTTCTTCACCCGAAAACAAATTAAACAATATTGTTAAATTGTCTAGATCGATGTAATTATATTAAAATGAACTTAAAAATAATTAAATTTATTTTAAAATAATATTGTATATAAAGAATTATATTAAATTGAACTAAAAAATAAGTTTAATATTTTCTAGCCTATTTTAATATAATTTATATTAGATATCCTCACGAAATTTTTATTTATTGAGATGAAAAAAAAAATTGTGACACCATTTTTTAATTTGTAATAAATATTTCGCAGTGTGAATATTTATGCCTAATAAATGAGAGGAGTTGATCAAACTATTTTTAAGGAGAGAATCATGCAAACAACTCTCAGGCTTGCGGCAACCGTCGCTTCCTCTCCGCTAGCCAGCACCGACGCCAGTTCTCGTTGACCGTTGTTCCGCCTCCCCCTGCTCCTCCCGCGTGAGTGGCGTATCCATCGACAACCTCGCAGGCTGGCGGCGGAGCTCCATAGAAGTCTTGCCGTCGCCGGAGACGGCAGCGGGATTAAAAAGGAGAGTTTGCTCGAGAGATCCCAGGTTCTGCAACGATTTGAAGAACCATGGGACCGCTAAGTTCTCGCAAGCGTTAGGATGTTTATGTTATCGCAACAAAATTTCTTTTCCTAGACATTAATAATCTACGCTCTCCAAATGAAAAACTAATAGAAATAAAACGGCAAAATCATTCTCCACCGTTCGCGCGCAACTAAATTACCCAAAAATCCAACGTGGCATCCCTCCCTGCCACCCATTTAATTTGACTTAGTCAACACCCTCTCCAACACCACACATAAAATAAAAAAAATAACAAAAATTAATTTCCCAGCTGCCAGGATTACCATCCCCACATCAAATAACAAAAACAAAAACTAAAAAAAAAAAACACCACCAATTCCCCCACGAACGGCGGCCAGTGCTCGTCCGTTCGCATCCATGGCCGCTGTTCTTCTCCTTCTTCTCCTCTCTCTTCCCTCCATCTCCCTCTCCCTCACCGATGCCGACGCCCTCCTCCTCCTCAAATCCTCCTTCCAAAACCCCGAACCCTCCCTCTCCTCCTGGTTCACCGGTTCACCCAACAGCTCCTCCCCTTGCGCCCTCCCTCGATGGACCGGCGTCCTCTGCTTCAACGGCATCATCACTGGTCTACGTCTCGGCCATCTCAACCTTACCGGAACCATAAACATCCAAGCTCTCACCCATTTCCCTTCCATCCGCTCCATTAGCTTCGTCAACAACTCCCTTTCCGGCCCAATCCCCGATTTCTCCCGCTTAGACGCTCTCAAATCACTTTACCTTTCCCATAATCGCTTCTCTGGTCCCATCCCGCTCAACCTTTTTTCCACTTTGGATCATTTAAAGAAACTCTGGATCAACGACAATGATTTCTCTGGCCCTGTTCCGTTTTCTTTATCGAAAGCTAAGAGTTTGTTGGAGCTTCATATTGAAGATAATGGCTTTTCTGGAGAGATGCCGGATTTAAAGCTGCCATTGTTGCAGTCTTTTAATGCGTCCAATAATGAGTTGAGTGGACCTGTTCCGGTTTCTCTTGTGCGGTTTGGGTGGTCGGCATTTGAGGGTAATGAGAGATTATGTGGGCCGCCGATGCCCGGTCCAGCCTGCCCGGTGCCTACGCCTGCGCCAGCGCCGGTGCCGAAGGAAGAAATAATTGCGCCGAAGGAAGAAATAATTGCGCCGGCGCCGAAGGTGATGCCGAAGCTGAGGCCCTTTGTTGCCGGTGGTGCCAATAGAGGACATTTTGTGGGTATTGTGGTCGGATTGGTGTTAGTTTTGGTGCTGTTGGCGATTGGATTTGCCGCCGTTAAGAGACGAAGAAAAGTTAGCGACTTGGAGTCTGCCGGTGGACGAAAGGCGGCTGCATTCGATATGGAGAAGGGTGCGGTGACGGCGGTGGCGGCGGCGAGCCCGGTGAATGACGGGAACGAGCATGGTTCTAGTGGGCACAAGCGCTACGGGTTGGCCCGGGGATCTGGTGGTGGTGGAGGTTTGATTAAGAAATACAATATAAATGAAAAAAATGCATACTATATGAGCATAGTCTTCAAATTCATTAATTTTTTTGTTAAAATTAGTGAAAAATTTTATATCATATTTTGTATTAATTTTGATATAATTTTGGATTTAGTGAGACAATTTTTTTTATTATTTTATATTTTAGATTATGGCTACTATTTTTATTGATTAAAAAAAAAATATTTTTTACAATAACTTTTAAAAAAATTATTTTACCCGCAATAATTTTATAATAATGCTTCGAATTTTTTTTCTATACAAATTTTTTTATCAAATTCTATAATCTAAATTTTATTCTTCATTAGATTAAAAATTGTAAATATTTCTTTTGATTATTTAATATTGAACATTTGATCGTTCATCTGATATTTATGATATATTAAATTTCACAAATTTTTTAAAGATCTGAATATTCGTTCTATTCATATTATTCTGGATATAAAAAATTACCACAACATTCATATTATTCATGATTATCATATTCTTTTATTCATTTTTCATAAATTACTTTAATTCCTCCGATATTTATTATCTTTCTATTCAAAGAAAATCTATGAACAGGTGGAAGCAGCGGCGCCGTGCTGGTGATGGTGAACAGCCAAAGGGAGGCATTCGGGCTGCCGGATTTGATGAAGTCGGCGGCGGAGGTGCTCGGAAATGGAACCTTGGGCTCAGCTTACAAGGCCATTATGGCCGGCGGCCACGCGGTTGCAGTGAAGAGGATGAGGGAGCTGAGCCGACTAAACAAGGAGTTGTTTGATGGCGAGATGAGGCGTTTCGGACGGCTTAACCATCCCAACGTTCTAACCCCGCTCGCTTACCATTTCCGGAAAGAGGAGAAGCTTATAGTATATGACTACGTTCCAAAGGGAAGTCTCCTTTATATACTCCATGGTATGCTCTATTGCATCACAAATGCATGGAATTTTTTTTTTTTTTTAGGGTCTTTTGAATGCAAAATTCATATAATTGACTTTAATCGTTGTATTTAGACTTTTTAGTTCAAAAATTAAAATTTTAATACTAAAAAATTACTTTAAGAAGCAGTAAGAAAAGCTGTCTCAAACGAACCCTTATATTGAGAGGAGTGCTATTCTATATGTAGCAATAATCTCAATACAATTGAATGTCTGTTAAGCCCATCTTAATATATTTTATATTAAGATAAAATAATTTATTTTCTTCTTTTTAATGGTAAAATATATAAATTTTGAAATCATTTTCAATATTTTATATATTTGAGCAATAGGTTATAATAAAGAGAAACAATGGGGTGATAAATCAAAATTTGTTCCAATTTTAAAATTAAATTATATATTATTAAGAAATAATATTGACATATAATATTTTTCTTTATCATTTACTATATTTGTTGCTATTATATATGCAACATAGATTTGATAACTTAATATTGAATATGTGCTAATATTATTTATTTGTGAAATGATGTTTTAGATTATCCTAATTAAATTTTTAACCTAATATAAATTATAACCATTAGATTTATTTTATGGCTATTATGAGAACATTTGTGTAATAAATTTTGAGACATTATTTTCTTCTTAATTGATTATTTCTGCCTAATTATTTCATTTGGTGATTACCGTGTTCGGTGTAGGCGATCGAGGAGCGGATCACGCTGCCTTAGACTGGCCAACTCGTCTAAAAATCGTCCTCGGCATCGCGAGAGGAATGGCGTATCTCCACGCGGAATTGGTCTCCTACGAAGTCCCACACGGCAATCTCAAGACCGCCAACGTCCTCATCTCCCCGACTTTTGACCCTCTAATCGCCGATTACGGCCTCATCGCCCTCGTCAACCCCGACGTCGCCCCGACCGTCCTCTTCTCTTTCAAATCCCCCGAAGCCCAACATCTCCGCCACGTGTCTCCGAAATCCGACGTCTTCTGCTTTGGCGTCGTTCTCCTCGAAATTCTGACGGGTAAGTTTCCGTCTCAGTACTTGAATAACACCAAGGGTGGTACGGATGTCGTGCAGTGGACGGCGTCTGCGATCTCCGATCATCGGGAGGCTGAGCTTATAGATCCGGTGATTACGGCGAAGGCGGCGCCGACGATGGAGATGGTGAGGTTACTTCGGGTTGGTGCGGCGTGTACACAGGTTAGTCCGGATGAGAGACCGGAGATGAAGGAGGCGGCGGAGCTTGTTGAGGAAATTGCGGTTGCTGTGGCGGGCGCGTCGGTGGGGGCTGGGGGATCGAGCCGGGAGGAGGCGGCGGGTTCGGTGGGAACCGATGGCTCGTTGCATGCCGGTTCATCATCGTGAGTTATCATAGTCTTTTGATTCTGATCATGCGGTGTATATTCGTTCAATTTTTTTAATTTTATATGAGGATCTTGGTTTGACTTTTATTTATTTTCCATTAATGCTCGACTCACAAACAGACATAATAGGTTGTCTCAATTTTCGTGCCTGGTTTTGTTAAAAAATTTGATTTTGTTAAAACAAATTGACTCTACCATCCCTATATATATTTTATGTGATATTTATTTGAGCTTTAGTTTCATAATTACAATATTAATTTTGTCATTTATATTCTAATCATGTTTTGTTATATTAATTAAGAATAATTAGTTTATAACTTATAAAATTTTAAACATATTCATATATTTAATTTTTGTTTGAAAGTTTATGGTGACTTACTAGCACATTTATATTCTTGAAAGAAAAGAATTTAGATTTTGTTGAGATGCTATACGTAATGAATTAATTAAGAATAATTAATTTATAACTTATAAAATTTTAAACAGATTCATATATTTAATTTTTGTTTGGAAGTTTATGGTGACTTACAAGCACATTTATATTCTTAAAAGAAAAGATTTTAGATTTTGTTGAGATGCTATACGTAATGAATTTGAGCTTAATTTTTATTTCATTGGATTTATTAAGCTATTTGATTTTATTTCATATATTATATGATATAATTCTTTTTATAAGAAATCAATTTATTTTGGTGAGTATTTAGTTATAAAAAACTTATTAATTACAAATAAAAGTTTCTCAAGAAGAGCTTAAGTTATTCATCAATTTAATTTCATTCCTCATAGGTTTTCACTGTGGTAATATGCTTCAATTTCTAAGATTTGTTTAAGTGCTTCCATTCCATATTATTTCTTATATTGTGTAGAAATTCTAATAAGACTGTTGATTAAATGAAGTAGATTTTAAAATTCGTCAAATTACATAAATATCATTAGGTCTTTCTCGGTATATAATTAGATTTACTTTATTTTTGTTGTACATGTAATTGCATGTTATAAAGCTTTTTAGTAGTTAATAATATTATTATTTTATACTTTTTTTGGAGACATACTTACATAAATAGTAATAATTTGCAATCAAAATAGCTTTTAAAGTTCAAGGGTCCAAATAGACTCTAAATGATGCAAAATTGCAATCAAAATTATTGTATCATGTGAAAATTCAAATGACATATACGTTGCTCAAATTTGAGCTCAAACAAGACTATAAGTCTGCAATTGATGAATTAGATTAGTTTGTGGCTGAATAAGCTATAGCCTAAATTGGGTGGACCTCTTTACTTAGATGGGTTCATGCATGTAGAATTAAGAGGTGGCAACCACATCCATTATTGCCCTATTAGTTGGTTGGGGTCCTTCAGACCAAGCCAAAAAGGAGCTCTCTTTGTGAGCCATGCATTTGTAGTGCTCATTGAGATCTGACACACATTTTCATGTTGTTCCCCCACTAAATTTGAAGCTTTCAGAGTTCCTACAACCTCAATGTGCATAAATTTTGCGAGTCATTTATGTGTGACTATTCTAAAATAGTTGATTAATTTGATATAAAAATAATGTCATATTATCACAATTTCTTATAGTTTAAAATTTGATCCATGAACCTTCTTGAAATAATTGTGGATAAATTAACTATCATAATTTTGATCCATTAGATTTCGTTTATTTGAGGCATTGTGGTCTATGATATCGCATATTTTGTTTGATGACTCAAGACTTTGCAAGTGACAATTAGTTCTAGTTTGTCACCAAATTATTGTTGTCATCATGCATCAAGCCAACTGCCTAATTTATTGCTCAATCGGTTTGGCAAAAAGTCCATCATCATCCAGTTATTTTTTTTTTGTCATGTAGGAAATGTAATATAGTGCATACATTATTAATAAAAATAGAAAATATTTCGATAAATATTACCTCAATACACTTCTCTGGTTCAAATGAACCCTTTAAAATATCAGTGATGAATTGCTTTAATTGGGCACAAATCTCAATGCAAGTTTGAGTACAAAATTTTGAAATTAAATTTAGGTTCATGTGAACTCGTATTTCAAAAAATTTATAGTCAAATTAAATGTCTCAATGAAAAGAATCCGTCTACACCAAAAATAATCTAGTCTAAATCCAAACTAGCCTAAATCAAGCACCTGAAACCTGTTTAAAAGCTTATTGACATTAATTGAATAATCAAAGGATCTTCAAATCTTGATTCTTATAGTTAAATTAATCCCCTCAATGATATGAATCCAACTAGTTCACTTAGTTAGATATCATTAAAGAACCAAAATATTGGGGAAATGATCTATAATTGAGGAAATAAATAAGGATCATTAAATAGTTTACTTTGGAGTTTGATTATATTTAGCACCCTTTTGGAGTTTGATTACATTTATCACCTCATTGGATATGGTACATTGATGGCTGGAGCATTTGAAAGTTCTTGTGTTGGGGGAAGGAATTCTTCATATTTCTCCTCAAAATAATATTTTAGAATATTGATTTCACTTAAAGTTTGTGGCAACCAACAATGTGATTGAATATGAAGCCCTCATGGAAAGGCTAAAGTCTTCATAGATTGTGAAGTTTAAAATTTGATATTTCACATTGATTCTCAACTTGTGGCTTTCAAATAGGAGGATGCATAATAGCTAAGAGAACTAAAGAGCTATTTACCATTTTCTAGTTATCACTGTTGATAACCACCAACTATCATAATATATATAAATAGACCCCTCATTTCTCTTGAGAGGAGACCGGAGCAAGAAGAAGAAGAGAAGGAAGGAGAAGAGAATGGTAGGAGGGAAGAAACTCCTCCTCGACCACTGCTAGGATTTTGCACGACTTCCAAGGGATGCCAGAGCTTTACCCGACTTCCAATTGACACCGGTATTCTGCCCGACTTCTAGGTGATGCCGAATTTCCATAGACTTTCTAGCGACGCACGGAATTCTGCCTAACTTCCTAGTGACGCCGGAATTCCACCGATCTCCAAGTAACGTTGGATTTCTGTCCAATCTCCAAATGACTTTGGAGTTTTGCCCGAATACACCGGAGTTCTCCCCGATCGTCGTTTGACGTTGGACTTTTGCCGGACATCTATCCGATGTTGGATTTTTGTCTATTATCGTCCTTCTACCCGACGTCGTCCTTCTAACCTCCGTCGTCTGACAACAGTCCTTCCGACCTCCTTCTCCCGTCGACTACGGTTCTTCCGATTTATGTCGCCCACCGACTACAGTCCGTCTGACCAAACAAATACATCAACAGTGATTCTTTGTATTCACATTATGTAATGTACTCTATAAGATGTACATCATGTTAAGGCCTCTCCCCAAGGAGGGGCCTCATTTGTAATCAACTGCAATAGTGGATTCATTCAAGCTGGGTTAGGCCCCGTAGTCCCCCCCCCTCTTTCTTTCAGGGGGTTTCCACGTAAAAATATTGGTGTCTAGTAAATGCTACACCCTCTCTATTTTATGATTGCATCTCGGATTTTCATACAAAGTTAACACGTTAAATATTATATTTCTCTACCGCCGCGAATACTCCAGGACACAACTGTTATGTTAAGTTTAATTAAGAAATTAGAGAGATTTGTATAATGTAAGTCTAAAGTAGTAAGTTAAAGATTTTTTAATAAGTTTTATTAAAGAAAAATAATTGTCATAGATATCTCGTATGGAATCGTTTATTGATTATAAATATTGAAATAAAAGAAGTGAAGCTTAAAGGATATCAAAGCTAAGTAGATCCGTGATTTTTTCGAACAATTATTACGTCCTCTGACCGGACGTAGAGTTACGTTCGGCCGCCAATAACATGTAGCCACGTGCTCTTACTCTTTACCGCGCGGCCCGACGACTTGACCCGGAGCGGAATCCGGGAATACTATCACTACAGGAAAACACGCTATTACCGGCGGACCATATCCGCCGGTAACACGTAAAATCCGACAGAATTTCTTGGTTTCCAGCGGATTTCCGGCGGATTTTGGTGCACCGGTTTGGCGCGCGTCGATAAATATTTTCCGACAAAAATAATCCGACGGAAATATTTCCGGCGTATTTCCGACGGATTTTCCGCTGGAAAAATATTTCCGGCGGAATTTTTTTTCGCCGGAATGTCAAGAAAATTAAAAAAAAAAAACTGCTCCGGTACAGGCCAGCCCAGAACCCGCTCCGGCTCAGACCGCCTCGAACTCCCCCGCTCCTGCCCAGCCCATCCGGAACCCGCTCCGGCGTAACCCGACTCCGCGTGGAACCTACCCCGCCCGAGCCCCAACCCGCATTGGCCGCCCGCGCCTTCAGCGAGTTTCAAACCGAGCTCCTCCCCCCCCCCTGCGCGCTTAAACAATACTCCATCT